CGTATGAACCCTTTGTACGAACAAAAGTAAGAGAAATTTAGGATAAAAATACGAACATGTTCTTGCATGAGGCCCAATGAAACATTGAATATCCACGATTTGAGGTCGGAGCGGTCCTGACGTCCTTCTGAGCCGATTAGATCGTTCGTAACAAAACACACACGGCAGGAACAGCTCCTAAGGTTATCTTTAGAGCATCATGATAATTGGGACATTATTAAAATTCTTGGCACATGTGAACCGGGAGTTAACTGCCATAAAGCTGAAATAAGATTAGTTTTGGAAAAATGCTGTTAATGTACAACGTTTAACTAGAAATTCTACTTTAATCATCTTTACTAGTATTTGAAGGTTTAGAAACGACAGATTTGAAATGCAGAGACAATGCAAATCTGTCAAAGTTTCAGTGCATGAAGAGGAGCGTGATCAGACCCCCTGCTGCATCCCATCCTGCAGGGTCAGAGCATGACAACATTCTGCACTCGGTGAAGTCCAAACGGGACATACCCGAGGTTGAGGTGTTTGAGCTTCTGGAGGCTGCTTATCTGAGTTGGGAGTTCCTCGATCTGGTTGTTGAACATGTTCAGGACTTCCAAGTTCTTCAGCTCGGAGATGTTTGGAGGCACAGCTGCACAGAAGACAGGTTTACACGCAGAGAAGACACTCATTAAAAGCCTTTGTTTGGGCTCAGGAGAATAACCTCTTGTTCCCCCTCGGTTTTAAAATAAAACCTTTTGATTGACACACGACAGACACTTCTGCTGTCTCGTGTGATGTTTCAGGTTTAGACAGTTTATCAGATGTTGCAGGGACAGCATAGAGGAAACATCTCACCTGTCAGCTTGTTGTGGCTGAGGACCAGCTGGGTGATGTTAGAAAGAGTGACTGAAATCACACAGGATATTGTATTAAAAGGCAGCATTTACTATTTCACTTAGTTCAGCAACGTTCTTTCATCATTACAGCCGCATTTCAGAGGAACACTACCCACACCTCCACAGACTGTTCCACTAATGTAATAACAATGATCTGGATCGTTGTTTCTAAATGATTTCACATTAAAACAGCCCTGACTGTGTTTAACATCACGGAGGACGTGAAGGCCGTGTCTTACAGAGACCCGGAATGTCCAGCATGTTAGAAATCCCTCTGTCACACATCTCCACCTCAGGAAGACTCTTGTCTCGACTTTCCTCCACTATCTTCTTCAAAGACTTGGACATGGCGCTTCTTAAAACAGCAGAACAAAACAGAGACGCTTTAAAAGCCTGGAAGTTCAACGATATAAAGTTAAAAGATTAAAAAAAAAAAAAAAAAACCTTTGACGGCTCCTATCGAGCGGACACAAGCGGAAAAATGGAAAATCGGAAAAAGTTTTTGGTGAAGCTCCCGACAGACCGGATGTTCGAGTGGACGCCCTCCTTCCTTTTTAGGGCATTTCCTCCTCCACGATAAACTGGAGCGATGCATCCGGGTAATCAGTCAAACTTTCCCGTTGTTCCCGTCCTTCTCTGGAGAAAACATGCCTTCCGCAGTTTTCCTGATTGATTAATAAAGATATAATACATCTCCGTGGTAATATGTCTATGAACCAAACTATTTAAAAACAAAACAAAAGTTTTTATTTTGAAGTCTAACCGGAAGTATCTTTTTTCTAAACTTTATTTGTAAAGACACACGATACATTCTAGTTCCAGAGAATACGTTTCATGTGAAAAACACAATTACAAACTGAAATAGTATTACAGGAGTTTTCTTAAAATACTACATTTTTAAAATATAAATAGTCCACACGTGTGTAGCATTTTTTAAAAGGCAGCTGGTATTTTTTTTTTTTGTAGAATTTTATAACAGTGAGGCGTAAATCTGTTATCATCCAGAAGATGGAAGCAACGCAACCAAAAGGCCACCAGCTGCTGTTAAACCCGCAGAAGAAGACCGGCTCATGTCCTAGCTATTGATGCATGTGTACAGTTGTGTACCCATACCACCATGGAGGGTTTGAGGGTCCTAGAGCTGTACAGTGGTATAGGAGGGATGCATTTCGCCTTAAAGGGTAAGTACGGATAGTTAGGGACCTTCTTTGTCCTTCTCTCCGTCGTTGTTCATGGAGGTTCGGGTTCCTGAGTAACAGATGTGGTTGTGAGGAGATTATGAGGTAACAACAACAACAACAACAACAACAACAACGCGTTAACGAAGCCGAAGTTAGTTTCTGATTTGACCACAGGGACATCCCGCAGCTTCTGTTCGAGCTGGAAGTTATTTTACTTTATCACAGCTGAACTAAATAAGTTTCTTCTTCTTCTTCTTCTTCTTCTTCTTCTTCTTCTTCTTCTTCTTCTTCTTCTTCTTCTTCTTCTTCTTCACCCAAATGACTAAGCCTGTGGCTTCATAACTTCTTGTTTTTCATACCGTATGTAGAAAGTGGCACACCTGCCCAGGTGGTGGCAGCCATCGACATAAACACCACAGCCAATCAAATCTACAAGCACAATTTCCCAGACACCCCCGTCTGGAACAAAACCATTGAGGTTGGTTAAATTGCACAATAGAAGCAAAGTCAGATATGTGATAAATAATTATGCTACACGTGGAATAAAGAGATAAATCACTAACTTGCTGAACAGATAAATAAATGTTTTCTGTCTTTACTTAGGGCATAACGTTAGACGACTTCAATAAGTTATCTGTTGATATGATCATGATGAGCCCTCCCTGCCAGCCTTTTACCAGGTAAGTCCTTTTTCTAAACTTTGTTTTGTAAACACTGAGAAAAGGGTGAACTGACTGCGAGGCAACTGTCTGATTTTAGCCGGGACATCCTGTGGAGACTGTTCCACATTTTCACTCCTCTCAAGATGGCACTCCCACAGTTTCCACATGTAACTCAACCACAGCTGTTTGGGAGAGATGTCTGCTCTGCTCCCATCATGCACCTGCCAGAGCAGGGCCGACTCCCAGCAGAGACGGTGCAGACAGATGAGAGAAGGAAAGAAATAGTGCAACTTAGTGAAAGTAGTTTTGTTTTTCGTTTATCTGAAGAAGCTGTAAAGTAAAGATGGTGTGATGTAATTATGTTTGTGATGTAATAATTGTCGTCGCATGAAAGCAGAAACACGTTGGAATAATGCCAGAAAAGTCTGCGTGTATGGTCATAAATAATGATTTAATTCTGAGCGACAAACAGACAGGACTCAATCAGGAAGCTCCGTCGGCCTGTCGCTGACACGTCAGCGGACACAGCCAATAATATACACCATGATAACATCATATGACATGCTTGTAACCAATCACAGATCGCCTAATGTACTGTCCAGCCAATCACAGGGCTCCCAGCTCAAAGAGTGTCTTATCAAACAAGAGAGTTCAGTCCGTTGCGGAGTCCTGACGTCTGGACAAACAGATTAACATTGAACATGTGAAACAGATAGATAATTAGTCCATAACAATAATGATTGCTCCTCACAGTGGGGCGTGAAGGCAGCTGGGATTTTGATCAATCTTTTTCAGACTAACACCCCTGTGTTTTATATCTTTTTTTATAAATGTATTAATTCATTTTGTGTTATCACTTTGACCCGTGTCTGTTGTTGCAGGTTGGGGCTTCAGGGGGATATTGCTGACCCCAGAACAAAAAGCTTCCTCTACATTCTGGATCTTCTGCCAAGGTATTAACAAATCCAATATAGATTTTGATTTTCCACCCTCTGGTCTTTACAACAACCGTTGTTAAATAAAGTGTAATAGCTCTTTAGTCTGTAATGATAATAATAATAATAATGTGAACACTGATGGGTTGTTGTAGCTGTGTATTTATCATATTGATAAAACACAAGTTTCTAAGTGAAAACTCAGCCTTACTCATAATTTAAGCATGAATCTAACACTGGCATGTTTCATCTCTTTATTGTCTGTCCAGGCTTCACAAACAGCCTCAGTTCATCCTGCTGGAGAACGTGAAAGGGTTTGAGAGTTCCTCTGCCAGGTAAACACTGAGGAGAAGCCGTAGCATCAAAACGCTGAAAGGTTGACCAACAATACAGAAACATGTAGAATCTTTTTTTTTTCTTGGAGAAGTTGTTTAACTGGTCAACAAACTCACTGTACATTGTCTCAAAATCTGAGGTGTTTTCTGGACCTTCTGGTTCATCACCACATTGGTGGGACATAGGAGGGACTTGGACCCTTGTTATAACTGTTAGGGCTTCAGGTGGTTGAATAGTTTTTACCTTATTTTGAGGTTTCTGCTTAGTTTATTTGACAAGTTTAATGTGAGTATGTCAAGGGGGAGTGGTTAGTGAAGGAAATACTTCAGTTTCAAATTAAAAGTCTTTAATCTTTGTGTTTAACGTGACATCATCTGGTTTGAGGGTAGAGTCTTAACTCTATATTTGTGCTTTACAGGGAGCGTTTGGTGCAAACACTGATGGGCTGTGGATACATTTTCCAGGAATTCATGATCTCACCAACAACTGTAAGAAACTCAGTTTTAATAATTTTATATCGTTGGAGTTAGGTGATATCACATATCTTTAAATATTCAAGAGATGTTGATTGTGTTATTGTTATATTTTAGGTTGGAATTCCAAATTCAAGGCTGCGTTATTTCCTGATTGCTAAGATTTCTGCAGAGAACGTCAGCATCCAGACAAAGTCAAAGGTAAAGTTTGACCCTGTTCTGGTGTGGATGGATCAAGTGTGATCAGTGTCAACATATATTTCTGGGCTGGAAATGTTTTTTATTGGTAGGTAACTTTTATAAAAATGTAATTTTTACATATTTGTTTAAGCTGTCACTATGTCCTGACAGTAGAGTATGAGACAGGTAATCTGTAAAAGAAAGAGAAAGAAAGAAAGAGAAAAGACAAGGAAGAGGTCGGTCAGAAACAGCCAATCAGAGCCAGGGGGCGTGTCCTAGCAGTGTGTGTGTGTGTGTGTGTGTGTGTGTGTGT